CCATTGACGATGTATTGGTTTTTAGAACCAAATTTTTGAGGGTTTTTGGTAAGACAATAACCTCAGTTGTAATGGATGAATGAAATGAAATGTAGTTCCTATTATAACCATTGTTTTGCTTTGCATATGATGTTATGCTTGTAATGAAATGTGCCCATGTGCTACCACATTGTTATGTGGACGTACATTGTTATATGATTGTTATTTGTTATGTCGAATTACCTTGGAAGTACAATTATAAACCAACATCATGTATGTTTTAAAAACTAAAGAAACTAACATCATGTTCAAACGAATAACAAAATCATACATCCATGCATTCATTAATGTCAAAATTCATGGTGTGTTTAAAGACATGTTAACAAACTAACCAAGACTATAACATCAAGACAAATTTAATAAAGACCTTACATTATAACTAACATACTCCAAAAACAAAACAGCTTTAATTTAAGTCCATTGGTTTGCTTGATGTATCACCTTCACCGTTTTTGCCTGCAACCTTTTTTCCCAACTTTTTCTTTAGTATCCTCTCTGACTTTTCTTATTTCAATGTACCTACTTCTTTACCATTTTCTTAGTCACACCACTTGTTGACCCACATTCACCTTCTCCCGTTTTGAAACCAATCCACTTCCAGTATCACCTTCACCCTTTTCTTTTTCCCCCCTTTGCCCTTTGCCCTTGACCCTTCCCTTTCTTTAATGCACTAGTTTCACCTTCACCTTCTGCCTTCCTTTTTTGACCTGACTTTTTTAGGCCTTTGACACTGCATCACAGGTTGACTTATTGTGGCCTGATTTCTTACAAACACCACAGACCATCTTTTTCCCTGCCTTGGATACTCTGTGTGATCCACTAACCTCAGTACTGTCCCTCTTTCTCTTAGTAATGGGTCTCCCTGGCATCTTCCTTTTCAAAGGTGGCAAAGGTGGTATGTAGTCTGTTGGGGGCCACATTGCACTCCATTCATGCTTCCTATTGAGTACTTGTAGGTGTTCATATATATGCAAGCACGATATAAAGGATCAACAAATGCCTCTACATCTCTATTTACATAACTAATGGCTGCCACTGAGTGTACACACCCATACCCATTCATTGCCAAATCCTACAAGTACATGTTTTCTTTTCCCAATCAACTCCATAAGACTCTCCTAAGTCTTGTTTCAATGTATTCAGGCCACTAGGAAGCACTTGCCAGTCCCTACAAATAATCACAGTTAGCATGGCTAATAAAGTACATTGGTTGGATATTCAATTGATTTATGGTGAATATTAAAGTACCTTTTTTGGATCTTCAATTCATTTATGGCAAGCCTTATGTTTGGACATACATCAAACTGTCCCCATCACTTCCTTTCGCCTTAACTACACATCCTCTGCATCACATATAGTTTAATCCTCCCACATTGAAATAATTGGCTTCTTCCTAGCATCCAATATAACATTGTTAAAGCTTTCAGACAACCCATTCTCAACTGCATCACACCCCCTTCCTATTTGAAAAAATGCTCTTGACCATGAGTTTGGATTCATTCCCATAAGATGCACATAAGCAACAAGGCTAATCATTTGAATCTCTTTCATTGCAGAATTGAAAAGAGGTTCAGTTGACGCCTTACAAGCCTTCCAAAATAATTTCTCATATTGAGCCCCAATAATTTCTTCTTGAAATTGGAAAGAACATGCCTGGCACATTGCCTATGTTCTATCTCTGGAAATAAATCTTTAACTGCTTCAATTATCCCCTGCATTTACATCATCATAATATTAAGAAGTATATCACATTTGAAAGAAATTAGGTATGTCATTATAAAGTAGAAACATACCTTATGTTGATCTGACATCAATGTATTACCAAACTCACCTTCAAGATGCAGACGTTCTTGCAAGTTTTCTAAGAACCATTTCCAGTTGTCTTTATTTTCAACACAAACTACATCCCAAGCTATTGGGTATATATGATTGTTACCATCCCTACTAACAACACATAATAACTGACTAGTACACATTCCTTTTAGAAAACACCCATCTAAGTTTATTATCCTTCTACAACCACTTCTCCAACCCTCCTTTAGTGCATGAAAACATATATAATATATATATATCTATATAATAATATATATATATATATCCTGCTAAAGTAAGTTTTCCCATCTGGCATAGAGTTCACAGACAACTTGACTGTTGACCCTAGATTAGACCTTTTTATCTCTTCACCATAGGACCACAACTTTGCATAATTTTCCACTATGATACCTTCAACAAGAGACATTGCATGTTGCTTAGCTCTCCTACATTGTCCCATACTAACCTCTATGCCAAATTTAGTCTTTACTTCCTCCTTTAACATCCTAACATTGAATTTATGATTCCCAAGAACTTCCCTGGTGAAATGACTACCAATCCATCTGTAATTAACAATTGACCCTAACTTAAAATTTCTTGCACAATTGTGGTTAATGATAAGGGACTTGATTTGGAATGACTGCTCCTCACTCATCCATGATGCCCACAGCCTAAATGTACATTGACCAGTACTACACTTAACCAATAACCTTTTACTGTCGTTTTTTTCAAAGTACAATTGATACCCATTTGCTACAACATAATTACAAATCATAAATTTTAATTGTTGAGGGTTGGTGAACCTCATACCTAGAATTGGCAACTGCTTCTTCCAAGGTATGTCTTCATTAAACATCAGTTTTCCTTTCACATCTGGGACATTATCATCTTCATCATCTTTTGGATCACCTTCTGTGACCTCCTCATTTCATTTTCTGACTTACTCCTTCGTAGGTTACTCCTTTCATGTTGCTTTCTTGTGGACTCACGAAGTCAATTAGGTCAATACCTTCTTCCCCTTCGATTGACATGTTTGACTTCACAGAACAATTATCCTCATTTTCATTTTCATTTGCCTTACTTACGTGCACAGTAGTACCAAAATGGTCCACGTAAACAGGAACTTGTACTCCACATTGATAAGCAATGTCTATAAATTATTGATATTGAAGTTCATTCGAAATCAAGGTTAAACCTTCTGGAATTTGTAAATCGGGTTGACAATAATAAAGTTTCTCACACTTCTCTTGTGTGAATCGTTCAAGAAAACCCACAAACTCATTATATGATATACCAGCAATATCGACGTTGTCGAACACATGATGAACACCATCAGAACACATGATGAACACCATCAGAATAGCAAAAAGGTTTGTTGATGAGCACACCTTGGAAATGAACTTTGATTGAGAGGAATATAGCCATCGATCTTCAGTTACTATGGTGGGACGAAGGTTTTCTCAATGAGGAGGGGTTTCTTCAATGAGGGGGAGGGGATTGTATAAAGCAAACGATTTATTTTATAACGAATTAATATAAGTGTACCACACGTGACCATTTCATTAAATGACGTGTCACCGATATTTTCCCTCGTGGCATGTACATTACCTTTCAACCCGGTAAAAGGTTACATAAGGGTATTTTAAAACGGTCAAATGAAAGTATATTCCTTTAATGTGCAAAAAAATAGTTTAGTGACCTTTTAAAAAAAACGTGAAAAGTTCGATGGGCTAATATGACATTTGCCCACTGAGAAATGGTCATCGCGAAATAACGAATTTCTAGATATGGAAAATGACGATTTCCCACACTAAAAAATGCTATTGAGAAAATATAAAAACAATTAAAAATACAAACTTAAAATCATCACCTATAGGATATGAATTTTCAATCCGGAATTTAATTCAAAGCATTTTCTTTTGTTTTAAAATATTAATAAAATAAAATATTTGTTTTTATACCGATGAATTATGATAGGATCACATAATTCCACAGACATAAATGGTCAATGATGATGTTCATTGATCGATTTGCAGACTAACTTGCAAAATTTATGGCTATGTGAGAAAAAATAAAATATTTTTGATTAAATTTATCATCTTTTTCATTTCATTTAAACCTGTAGATTTCAACTATAATAAAATATTGAAAATAAAAGTACGATATGATCAAATATAAGGTAGGAATGTCATCCAGGAAAGGGGTCAAAATAAAATATTTTTGATTAAATTTATCATCCTTTTCATTTGTAGATTTCAACTATAATAAATTTTTGAAAATAAAAGTTACGATATGATCAAATACGGTAGGAATGTCCTCCAGGAAGAGGGTCAGCGCTTTACGCTGACGCAAGCAAAAAAGTCCAAAACTTTCATTCAAAAATACAAACTTCACTGTATCATCAACACCAGACCTCACTGTCCATACTCTTAAAATTCGAATAACTTCCACAGAAAGAATCGTTGTGACAAATGCGCTTAAGAACAACAGTAACCACTTCAAGAAACGAGTTTTAAAGACGCTTATAAATGCCATTCCATGTTTGCGAACCCCACTCATCTTCCCCCTCTCTTTCTCTCTCTCATAACCATCTAAAACTACTATTCTACTTCAATTTGTGCGTTCTTTAGGTTTTCTCCCACGCTTTTCATCATTCCCCCCTGTTTTTCGTTAAAGATTCACAGTGAGAAAGAGGATGGCCGCCAATGACGATGGAAGCGGTGGTGAAACATCTGCCGATCAATTCCCGTTTGCTAGAAGGTAAACCGTTTAGTATTCGATCTTCCCTTGATTTATGCGTCATTCAAGTTTGGGGTTAATCATATACTTACATCAATCTGCAACGAGATACAAACTTGAAAAAGTAAAGTTGTTTTGCAGGAATCGATGAGTTAATATTTTGTAGGACCTACAATGATCATTGATAATTTTATTTTTTTGGGTTTATTGACATAGATGTGGTTGCAAAACACAAAACTTAGGTTAATCGAAACGGAGAATGCAGGTTAGAGAGAACATCGGAGGGAAATTGTATTAATGAAAGTTCTTGTCGATCTTTTACGAATTTAACTATTATACGATGCTTTACTCAAAATTTTGATAAGTTCTAAGCGTTCTTGATGCGAAATTTTGTGTATTTTGATCAGTTATCAAATAGAAGCACTGGAGCAAGCGATAAAGCAGAACACAATAGTGTTCTTGGAGACTGGATCAGGCAAAACATTGATTGCCATCATGCTTCTACGCCACTATGCCTATCTGTTGAGAAAACCATCACCTTTTTTTGCAGTTTTTTTGGTTCCCACTGTTGTCTTAGTCAATCAGGTATGTATATATATCCCTTAATATGTCTATTAATTTCTGCACTGAAGCACAATAACGAAAATTTGTATATCCTTCTTTGATGTCTAGCAAGCTGAGAATGTGAGAAAACATGTCGATCTGAAAGTGGAAGAATACTGGGGCGAAAAAGGTGTTGATTTTTGGAAGGCTGCTGACTGGAAGAAACAACAAGATGAAAACCAGGTATAAAAAAGTAATCCTTTTTTTCTTTATATATATAATCATAAGTTGTTTCACCTTTCATTAATCATGCTGCAGATAATGGTAATGACACCTCAAATTTTGCTTAATGCCTTGAGCCATAGCTTTTTAAGCTTGGATAACATTAAGCTCTTGATATTTGATGAATGTCATCATGTGAAGAAAAAACACGCAATGGCTCTCATTATGAAGGTGTGTTATATGTTTTACACCCTTCTGTTTTCTTTGTTTTTTTTTATTATTAATATTATCATTACCAATACAATTAAATGTTCTTGAAAATCTGAAAAAATCTATCTTTGTAGGAGTTTTATCACAGGCGGTTATGTGATGGTGGTTCTGAGCTTCCTAGGGTACTAGGGATGACAGCTTCACCTGTGGAAGCTAAAGGTATTAAAATAATTTTTACTTTTTATTTTATTAATTTTCCAATTAGTCTTGATTAGTGATCCTGATTAGCTTGTTTTTTGTATTCTAATGTCAAACTCAGGCAAGGATTACTGGGAACAGATTAACAACCTTGAGACTGTGATGAATTCAAAGGTTTCTAAACAGAATTTCACATTTTCTTTAATCATTTAAACTTGTTATTTGATTATAATAACTTACATAGATTTCTTTCTTAATGAAGATATATACATGTGCAAGTGAATCTGTTTTATCTGGCTACATTCCCTTTTCAACTGTTAAGCTTAAGTTCTATGAGGACAGAGAACTTCCTTATCATGTTCTCGAGGCTTTAAAAAGCAATCTGTCAGTGTTAAGAAAAAAGGTAATCTTGACTTGTTTTGACTTTTGAATATTTATCAAATTTGTATTATTAACAAATACAAATATTACTTCACAGCATGAAGATAAAGTCAGTACTACAACCCTCTCAACATCTTCAATGCAAAATGCCATGAAAAGATTGTCCAATTTGTATTCAACTTTTGAACATTGCTTAACCGAATTGGGCATTTTCTTGGCTTTAAAGGTGTGTTTTTAAACTCTTAATCCTTTCCTCCAAACATAGAAACAGAAAATGACCTTTTTACCCCTTGTAACAGGCAGCCGAAGCATATTCATGCGAAAAATCCGATCTCTTTTCATGGGGGCAGCTAGATGTACGTGGTGAGAGCATTGCCAGAGATTTTTGTGAAGATGCTAGCAAAGTTTTTAGCTTTTACATACCTAAGGGTAATGAAGACATCCATTTAATCTTTCTTTATAATTAATTAAATATTGCCAATACTTTTCACAATCTTATTATTCAAACTATTTTTTTTTGGCAATTTCTAGAATGGTCCATCACTCAGGTGAATGAAGCATCTGTAAGCATTGGCTTGCTTTCAACAAAAGTTGTCTGTTTAATCGAATCTCTTGCTGAATACAGGTTTCTGCCTTCTGTTCATTGTACTTTGTTTGTTATTATGAGTAAAGATTTCTATGTATACTGCTATTATGTGTCAAGAAAATGTAAGTAGGAAGCTTATATGTGTGAGGAACAAAATACATTGTCTATATTTCTAAAAAAGTAACTATTTTCTGCAATTTGCTATAGTCCTGAACAATCTTGTAATTGTTTCTATAAATTTCTTGCAGGCATGTGAAGGATATGAGATGCATAATCTTTGTTCAAAGGGTGATAACAGCAAGGGTACTCAAAAGCTTACTTTGTGAATTGCACCCTAAACTTTTTGATTGGACAACAAAATATATAGCTGGAAATCATTCAGCAATGCAATCACAAAGCCGAGGATTACAAAATAAAATAGTGGAAGAGTTCCATAAAGGAATTGTATGTATGTCTATATTTAACATTATAGTCAAAGTGCGTGTGTTAAAACATAATTTGTGATGTGTACAGGTAAACATCATTGTTGCAACATCAATTCTTGAAGAAGGCTTGGATGTGCAGAAATGCAATCTTGTAATAAGATTTGATTCTGCATCAACTGTTTGCAGTTTTATTCAGTCTAGAGGTCGTGCTCGAATGCAGGATTCTGATTTTCTTTTACTGGTTAAAAGGTGGAAACTTTATTAACTTTTCTTATATGTGATTTATGTGGAGATGTGTTATTTAATATTTGAGTTATATCTTGTTTTTATGGTTTTTAGTGGGGATGAGAAGACATTGAATAAGGTGAATAATTACCTTCTGAGTGGAAAGAGGATGCGGGATGAGTCTTTGAGCCATGCTTCTGAACCATGTGGGCCCCTTGAAAAAGACTTGTATGATGCAGTGGTGTATCATGTTGAATCAACAGGGGCGACATTGAGCTTGAGTTCCAGTATTTCCATGGTGTATTTTTATTGTTCAAGGCTACCTTCTGATGGGTTTGCTCTTTTACTCTTTTAGATGCTTTTTTTTTTTTCTTTAAGATGACCAAAATTGGAATTGTTATATATTTATATTTTACTGTTCTATCACTTTTAGGTACTTTAAGCCTTACCCAAGATTCGTGATTGATAAAGAAACAGGAACTTGTGATATTTATTTTCCTAAAAGCTCCCCACTTCCACACGTGCAAGTTGTAGGCCCCACAAAGATGCTGAAGCAACTTGCGTGTCTTGAAGCATGTAAGAAACTTCATAGTATGGGCGCATTAACGGACAATCTTGTCCCAGATACAGTGGAAAAAGAAGCCAATGATGAACAAGAAGCTGGTAAAATAGTGTAAAATTTATTTCATTCACAATCTCTATTTACTTAATTCGTTTTTTAATTTAATATTTTTTTTCACAGGATTCGAGTATGTCGAAGAACAAGTTCAATACATACCACCAGAGCTTGTTGGATTTGGAAATAATTCAACTAACTTATATTATTTTTACACAATCAAGTTAGAAGAACACTATGAATATGAGATTCCACTACAAGATATTGTTCTTGCAGTAAGCACAAAGTTAGAGTTTGAAAATGAAGGGTTGACCTTTGATCTTGAAGCTGATAGAGGAAACATTTCTGTTTCTTTGACTTATATTGGAACATCTGATCTTACTCCTGAACAGGTAATACAAAGTTGTTTAAGATCTTATCATAAAACAGCTATTATGGGTATTAAATAATGAACATTCGACTTCAATATGTTTTTTTTTTTTCAGATAATTCTAACAAAGCAATTCCAATTGATTGTGTTGAGAGTACTTATTGATCGCAACATCACAAAGTTGCAAAAGCCTGTTGATTTTTTCAAAATAAAAAATGATGATGACGTGGCATACGATTATTTGCTACTCCCATCAGCTGGCCCAGATAAAGCTCCAATGGTTGTGGAGTGGAAGGCTGTTCAGGCTGCTATGTTTGCATATGAAAGAGAAGTGAATGAACACATGTGTTGTTTAAAGGGAAATGAACATCAAAAAGTGCATACAAAAAACGGTTTAGTTTGCAGTTGTTTTATGGAAAAATCTTTAGTGTGTACCCCTCATAATGGGCGTGTGTATTGCACCACTGGAAGATTACCTGGATTAAATGGTAATTCCCCTTTGGAAATAACAGAAGGGGGAGTTGTTTCCTATAAAAGTTACTACAAAAAACGGTATGAATTCGTTTTTTTTGATTTATTATTTTGGGGAAGGGTAAAACCGTAAAAGTAGTTTGAAATTGCAGACATGGCATTGACTTGAGACATGAAGAAGAAATGCTTTTTGCTGCTAGACAACTTTTTACAGTTAGAAATGCTCTTCAGAAAAGCAGACACAAGGACAAAGACAAAGGTTCTATTACTTTTTTGTTGTTATGATTAATGTTTGAGTATATTACATGTTTGGTCCCTGAGTAGCACTAATTTATTATCAGTTATGGTCACTGAAAGTTTTCTTTTACATTTTTGGTTCTTGTTTGAGGGTTTGCAACAAATGTGGTCCCTGTTGCAAGTAAAATAACTATGTTTCGGGGAAAAATTGCCAACGTTAGCTATTACTTGGGACTAAATTAGTCATTTTACTTAAAAAAAGGATCAAAATTATTACAATAATCTCATCAAAGGACCAATCTTGCAAAAGAACTTTTTGGAACCAAAATTGCATAAGTCAGCTATACACAGGGACCACTAATTCAGTCTAATATTATAAAGAGTTTAGAGTAATTTATACTTTTGGTCCTTGAGCTTAGTTGATTTTTGCTGTTTTAGTCCCAAAAGTTTCTCTTGCACATTCATCTTTTTTTTTGAAAGTTTTGTAACGTTTTTGGTCCCTAGATCGTTAAAGCTGTTAGTTTATTCAAAATGACCATTTTGCCCCTGGACCAAAATTGAAAAAGCAATATAAGTTGTATTAAATGTTATTTAAAAGTAAGTGAAAAGTTACCAATTTGGTCCTTGTGGGTATGCTGTTTTTTCTTTTTTAAATATATTTTAGTCCAAGGGCAAAATGGTCATTTTGAAAAAAAATCAAAATCTCAGAGTTAGATTTAACAACTCAAGGACCAAAGTTGTTAGCAAACATCATAATAAAGACCAAAATTGCAAAAACCAGCTAAACTTTTTGGATAAAAAATATAATTTACATCAGAAATGTTATGATTATTATTGTTGTTATTTTTTCAGAAACAAGCAGTGCAGGAGTTGAGCTGCCATCCGAACTGTGTTTCATCATCATGTCTCCCGTTTCTATAAGCACCTTTTATTCTTTCTCCTTTGTTCCATCAATCATGCACAGGATCGAGTCGTGGATGATTGCTCTGAATCTGAAAAAGATGCATTTATGTCATAGCATGCCAAATGGAAATGTTCCTGCTATGAAGGTATAATACTTTTCACTACCCTTCTTCTATTCATTTCACTATCCTTCTCCTTATGCCATTCTGTTGTTGCCTCTTTATAGGTTTTGGAAGCTATCACAACAAAGAAATGTGTAGAAAAGTTTCATCTGGAATCCTTCGAGACTCTAGGCGATTCTTTTCTTAAGTATGCTGCTACTCAACAATTGTTTAAAACGCTTCAAGATCAACACGAAGGCATTTTAAGTTCAAGAAGAGAGAAAATTATATCCAATGACTCGTTATGCAGATTGGGATGCAACTGTAATCTTCCGGTAATGTCTCTTTTTATACATCTTATTTAACTCATCTAAGAAAAGGGTATTTTGGTAATTAGTTATTGTATTCAGGGGTTTATCCGTAACGAGCCATTCGAGCCAAAAACATGGATTGTCCCCGGAGATTGTTCAAGCAGCTTTAAATTGGAGGAAGAGGTTCTATCGGACGAGAGAAGAATGTATATCAGGGGCAAAAGGGTAATAAAAAAGAAAGTAGTGGCGGATGTTGTGGAAGCACTGATTGGCGTGTTTCTTAGTGAAGGAGGTGAGCTGGCAGCGTTATCATTTATGAGATGGATCGGTATATCGGTTGACTTTGTGAACACACCGTATACACGAGCCTTGACTTTGCATCCAGAAAAATATGTAAACATTCAGTACTTTGAGTCGTTGCTAAATTACTCATTTAGAGATGTATCTTTACTTGTTGAAGCACTGACTCATGGGTCCTACATGCTACCCGAGATTCCAAAATGTTACCAGGTTTGCTTCCCAAAATAGCATCCTACTTTTATTTCTTATTATTTTAGGCTTTTAGCACTCTACTTACATTTTTTTTTTGACATTTTGTGCAGAGATTAGAGTTTCTTGGGGATGCAGTGTTGGATTATATGATCACCGTGCATTTGTATAACAAATATCCAGGAATGTCTCCTGGAATGTTGACTGATTTGAGGTCAGCTTCTGTGAATAATGATTGTTATGCACAATCTGCTGTAAAATGTGATCTACACAAACATATTCTTCATGGATCTCAAGATCTTCATCGAGCTATTGTCACTACTGTTCATGAATTTGACCAGTTGTCCTTAAAAACTACTTTTGGATGGGAGTCCGAGACCAGTTTTCCTAAGGTTAGTGTTCTTTTTATAACTTTATGTTACATTTTTTTTGCATGTAGTTTACTTTTTGTTTGGGGGTATTATTGTAAATAGGTACTTGGAGATGTGATAGAGTCTCTAGCTGGGGCGATTCTTGTGGATTCTGGATACGATAAAGATAGAGTTTTTCAGAGTATTCGGCCTCTTCTTGATCCCTTGGTAACACCTGAGACACTGAAACTGCATCCAGTGAAAGAGTTGCATGATATTTGTCAGAAGAATTACTATGAAATAAAAAAATCAGCCAAGCGTACTGAAACTGATAATGGTAGATTCTCTTTCACTATAGAGGTGGTAAAAGACGATATTGTCCTTAAAGATTCTTGCATGGCTGCTGACAAGAAAATGGCTGAAAGACTCGCTTCAAAGTCTGTTTTGAAGTTGCTTAAAGAGTATTTGTCAGCCGCATGACAGCAATTTCTTTGTTTAATCTGTTTTCGACTACTTCTTGATTTTAGAGGGGCATGGGTTTGAATTAGAAAGGTTGGTTTTTTGTTTTTTAGAGAGTAAGTTAAAAAATGGTCCCTGTGGTTTTTTTGATTTTTAGGATGAATAGTCCAAAACCAAGGCATTTTTCAGTTTTATTCTTTGTTTCAAGGTTTTGTATCGATTTCAGTCCCTGAACCAGAAAGTCCCAAGAATCAAAAGTGACAACCTTGAAATAAGAACTAAATTAAAAGAACGTTTTATTTTTGGACTAAATATGGTAAAAAGCAGAAAGCACATGCACCATTTTAGTAAACTACTTTTGCCTTTATTTGTGGGCTGCATTTTGCTTGTAGGTGCTATGTGTGTACAAAAACTCAAATGCTTTATAAGCCCTTATTACCATCATTTTTAGGCATAATCTTAGAAAAATACAGAATTCTCTATATCAATTTATCAATATATGACCATTTTTTAGTGGTTTAATACCATAAATTGATTAACTATAAGTTTTTTAAAAAAGCTTAAAGCTTAAAAAATTGTTTGAAAAATATAAGTTGGCAAGAAGTTATAACGGGTTTTTCAACTCAGCCCATTGTTTTTGTTCAGTCCCTCTCCTTAGACCTTGCTTCCAAGCCCACTTTCACTATAGACTTGTGATATTAACGTCATAAATTCTTTGTGAACTTATTCAACCTAACCTTTCTTTTAAAAGTATTCTTTAAATCCGTACCCAGTTCCATCAAATCATACTCGATTTTTGTAATTTTAAACCAAAGACCAAAATTGACTTCTTTGCCAATTTTCCTATTAACAAACCTTTTTTTTAAATTATGTATATAAATATTCCAAGCAACCCAATTAATCTTTCCTTTATTCTCCACTTCCCCTAAAGAAACTTTCATGCTTTTCTACAATCCTAATTATTTTTTAGTGCTTTAAAGTTGGAAAATGGTACAATGGCAACATACTAATCGATCAACCTCCGAGTGGTAGATTGTTGAGAGTGGAGACTGGTCTAAGGTGAAGTTTCTATTGCAATCTTTGGCCGAGAGCAAAGTTATAAAGAGAGAGGTAGGCGAAGTCTCAAGAGTGAGGTTTCAAAAGCAAAGTGGCAGACAAGGTTTAAAGTGCAACTTCAGTCAATAGATCCGAAGCGTAGTCTCAGTTAGTAGATGCTTGAGAAGCAAAGGTACGCATTGATGCTCAGTATCGCTGTCAGTGCTCATGTTAATTTGGTCTAGTAACTTGGTGACATCATAGACATGTCGGCCTAGTCAATTAGAAGTTAGGTCAAATGGTATAAATAGATATGTCATCATTGATTCTAACCCTAACCCCAAAATTATGAAAAGGTGTTGTAAAACTTAAAGTGTATCACAGTGATTATCAATAAAATATTTATCTAGTTCCACTTGTGGATATATCTTGTTTACTCTGATAAATTGAACTACGTTAAATCCTTATGTTCTTTATTGTTATTATGCATCTTCATTATTCTATTGTGTTTGTCTAAGTCCTTAATCACTAACAACTCTTGCAGTTACACAACAATGAATGGTACAACAGTTAGATGTTTATAGTGTATTCCTTCACCAAAACCTCAAGGAAACTGTCTATATGGAGCAACCTCCGGGTTTCTTTGATCCACTACAACCAAGCCGTTTTTTGTCTATTTCACAAGTCTCATATACAACACCGATCCATTATCTACTACTTCATAATCCTTGAACCAACGATGATCTTTACATGCATGACTCATCGCCCCCTGAGTCTATCCACCATGCATGAACTAGTTCCAGAAATCAAATTCTGACCTTATTGTGTTTTTGGACCTTGATCTAGAGATCTTCTCCAGAAGTGCTTGCACCATTCTTGTTCTTCCTCAAACAACAATCTCGTTTCACGTGACCAAGTTTGTTGCAATTCCAACACACGTTTTGTTTTCTTGCTGGAACCTTTGTGATGGTCATCGTTCTTCTTCCTTTTTCCTTTGTTATTTTTATGATGTTTGTCATTTTCCACCGTATTCATAGAAGATACATGAACTTATTTTTCCTTTTCTTTGCCACTCTCTTGAACCCGAAGGGCCTCCTCAATTCTCAAGTGACTGCCAAGTTGTACAAAAGACAATTTTTCGTTTTGGTATTTCGGCGTGTGCTTGAAATCTTTCTAGGATGGGGACAATTTGTCTATAACACTTGAAACATAAATTGATTCATCCATTTTCATATCATATTGTTCAAATTGTCCCAAAATCCTCATGAATTTATTGTATGGTTTCATGATAGACCTCGAATCCACCATTTTGTAATTGTTAAAATTACTCACAAGGAACTTTTTACTAGAAGCATACTATGTAAAGTTGTAACACCGTAATTTTTCAAACAAATTTTTTTCATTTTAAAATCGCATACTTTTCATAACACATTGTATAGAAATCTCGTTTATTCAAATTACAAAACACAACTACATTAATAATCCAGGATCCTCAAAACATAACTCTTTCTCTGGCGTGTACAATCAAGCCGGTGCCTTCCCGCGATCCTCTGAGATACCTGAAACACATAACACATAACACGGTAAGAACGAAGCTTAGTGAGTTCCTCAAAATACCACATACAACACATAGCCACTCGAGGCTATAACTCGGTATGACCCTCCGGTCAATGTGTCTCAGCGGGACCCTCCAGTCCCGTAGCTCGTTGGACCCTCCAGTCCGGTCTAGCTTGTTGGACCCTCCGGTCCGGTCTAAATCGTTGGACCCTCCGGTCCGGTCTACGCGAGGACCCTCTGGCCTCATAAGTCGTTGGACCCTCCGGTCCGGTCTATATAACACATAGCATACATATATCACAATGCACATAAACTCCAACATACACATAACAAATAAGACCCTCCGGTCTACACATAGTTACCACTCTAGGTAATGTATAGTGAGAAGACTCACCTCGGCTAGCAGGTGAGCAAATAACCTTGCGCTCGGATCTCGAACTTGCCTCCTCCTAACACAAAGGATGAATATCTCTTATTAATACTCTTTTCATGACTCAGATAATCGAAGGCGGTTCTTTCTCTTTCTAACTCTTTAAAGTGGGTAAAAGACCATTCTACCCCTCCAAGGTCTCTATCACACATGTTGATCAAAACCCCAAAGTCAACAAAAGTCAAACTCGAGTCAACAGTCCAAGTTTGACCCGACTCGTCGAGTGCACTCCTGCGACTCGCCGAGTCCCCTCGTATCCTCAGAAGTCTCAAAAGTCCAGCTCAACTCGTCGAGTTGACCCCCAACTCGCCGAGTTATCGCACAATCAAACCATCGGGACAAACCCTCGCCGACTCGTCGAGTCAGTTCATGGACTCGGCGAGTCCCTTTGATCTGATTTCTCATTCAGACGATTTCAACCAGATCTATCACTCTAAAATATAGATCTATCATCCCAAGGCTCAATAATTACGTAAAGCTTCGATCTTTACGTTCATACATGACGCTATTGCTTCAAAAAGCCAATACATGCTCTTCATGAAGGTTTTTGCTCATCAACCCTCAGGAGGTCCAGATCTGAGGTTTCCAACCACAACCATGTCTCATTCGACTCGTAGATTCAAAAGGATGGAAGCAAAGCCCTAAAACTCCCAAAATGAGATCTAGTACAAGGAATGAACAAGATGAGGACTTTGTACCTTCTCTTAGCAGCTGAAACACTCAATACCACAGATCCACTGCCTTCCTTTGCTCCCCATCATGAAGCTCTTCATCCTTTTTCATAGAAATGCACCAAGAACCACCATATGAGCTTCTCTCTCTAACTCCCTAGCTCCAATAGAAATTAGGGTTTGCTCTCAGGGGAAGGTAGCCGCAAATGAGGCTATAAATGCCTTTAAATAGGTCCCAAACCCGGGAAATTAGGGTTTCTCTGCCCAGCACCTACTCGGCGAGTCCCTCCTCTAACTCGTCCAGTCCACTCATTAAATCCACGCGAGCAACTCGACTCGACTCGGCGAGTTGGTCCCTCAACTCATCGAGTCCCTCCTTAAATCTCAAGATTAACATACATATTAATGTCCCTGAAAATCCGGATGTTACAATTCTCCCCCACTTGAATTAGATTTCGCCCTCGAAATCGCTCCTTCACAACATATAGATCTAATCAAATAACCAAACAACACCATCGAAAGGGTCTCATACCACACAACTATCTTCCTTTCTGGACACCTGAATCCAAACAGGAACTCCTCCCTGGAAAAGGACAGACCCATCTGCCACTATGCTACCCCTTCTGACTCTCAAGAATCTGGAACTCTAGTAGCCTGACACACAGCCAGACCGCCATCTCCAGATGTCACCACGTTATTCTCTCCTCGAATAACAAACCCCGATAGATCACTGCCCCTCTGATTCTCCAGTGGGGACCGATAAAACAAGTCCATGCCCAAAACTGGCTACCGATCACTCTTCCCAGACATGATAAACAATCCAGATCATATACCAAGGAATGGAAGGATCACATCACACCAGGGACTCATCCATTGTACTGTAATCACAACCCTTCTGAACAACGAACCCTCAACACCCTGTCCTCAGACACGAACAATGACCATGATTGTTCAGAAGCGTCCTCCGACATCTGACAAACATAAACCTCAGCTCCCTTCTCAATATCCCTTTCAAGACTGAGCACCAGGTCATCTCCCGATCCAGCAATTGAACCTCCAAAGGTTACCCATTGCATGTACCAAAACGTCTCACTGACTTCCTTATCAATACAACTATCTCGGTCCAGTGCGACACACAAGTCGTGAAGTTTGCTTTACCTCAAGCGAATACGGAATTCGACTCACTCTCGATCTATACCATCTACTACTCATTAGTTCCATGCGTTTCGCGGTTTTCTCATACCAACGAATTGAACCCACTCAGGTCTAAGACACCAGATGGAACCAATACCCCCTTCCAAAGGAAATTCATTTCTGAATCCGAAATCTCATTTTGCCTACTCAATACACCACTAGAATCGAACTCAACTCGAGAGTCTGGTCCGGCACAGAGTTGGAACCACTCGTCCCAATGAACCACTCAACTCATGACTCATGACCCGCAACC